ACAGTTACAAAGGGATAAGCTGAGTTTCTGCAAACCAAATACATTCCACAGGCTGTAAGAACCTGTTAGATAGAGGATAAAGATAAAAACACTTCAAATGTTGTAGATATCCATCAGATTTTACCACGGTAGTTTGTAAAGAGAAACTTTTTTTCTCAAACAATTAAGATGAGTCATCTAGGATATAAATGTTCAAGGTCCAGTTTGGGGATAACCATAAAATCGTAAAAACTCAGGTGAGGTAACTCTTCCGTGGCCCTGGTATGACCAGACAGTATTTTCCTTGAGAAGAAATATCTAGTTTGGGAAGTATAAGGTAGGGAGTTAGGTCAAGGCTTTGTCAAGAGGATCATATGTAAGCTATATAGTTGAGGGAAAAGATCAGAGTAGGCATGGGCAAGCCTATAGCCAAGCAAGTTTTCTGTTAAGCACGCTGACAAATTCAGCCAGTAAAATTCAGTTTATTACTTACATAGACAACAGATCACCATGGTGTCAGCTTCTCTTGTCCATTGTCTCACTGGGTAACACTGAAACCAGATAATCACAGGCAACACGAGTGGTAGGATACCCTGTGTCTGAGGAACGGTGGCCAGACAGAAGAGTTTAGGGCAGTGGGTGAGAGAGCTTTGTAGCAGCACCTGCCACGACTGCATATATTTCCATAGTCTGGAGTATCATGAGGCATTCTGCCAGAGCTTAGGTCAGCCTGTGGTTAAGCCTGCCTATGTGGAGACATGTAAGGTTGCCAGGGTATGAGTACAGAGCAGTTCTTCTACATTATCCTTGGTGAAGGAGAAATGACAAGGTGAATTAGAACAAAAGCATGAAAAGAAGTATTACAAGCAATAGTTTCAAGTAGGTTGGAAATTTATGTTCTATTGGTCTTGGGATAAGCAGCCTACTTCTATAAAGTCATCTGCTTCTGGAATGTAAAGACATCCTGGACATCCTGACAGTCACTTGGTACTTTCTGAGAAATACCTTTTTTCTCGTGATAATACCAGCTTATCTCAGGAAGCTTGTATTTATGAGTAATATCTTTTAATATCATCCATCAGGAGTACGTGTATAGTCTTTTATTGAGGCTTTTGTGTTTCTTCCAGAAGACTCAGTTTCTGATCTGTAGCTTGTAACAGGAGCCTTTAGGCAAGCATAAAGAAAAAGCAGAAACTACCTGTGGAGGTAAGACTGGTTCAGATTAAGTTGTTTTAATAGCAACAGTATCAGAAAGGAGAAAGGTAGAATCCTTTATGAAGCAAATCGATTTATAAGGATTTAGTGAATAATTTACCTCAGAATAAGAACATATCATTGGCATTGACCAATTTCAGGGTTTTAAATTTATACCAGTGTATTATGATTTTCTCTAGTTGTCTGCAATCTAGGTAGTTAAATCTAGAGATAAAATATTTTAAAACTTGTTTTTAAAATAATAGCTTTATTGAGATCAAATTCACCTTTTTAAAGTATATGATTCACTGGTTTTTAGGATATTCAGAGTTGTGCAGTCATACGACTATCTAATTTTAGAACTTAAAAAAAAATTTCTGGAACATTTTCATCACTCCGAAAAGAAAAACCCCATGACCGCTGACAATCACTCCTCATTCCTTCCTCCAAACTACCTGGCAATCCCTAATCTACTTTCTGTCTCTATGGATTTGCCTAAGAGATAAATTCGTTTAAAAATAATTTTGTTTGTTAACTGAACAATTATTTACATATCCATAAACATGAATATGTCTCTTCCTAAAAAGGACATAACCACTCTATTATTTTACATTAATAAAAAGTCATCCATTATAGAATTGACCTAGGTAGGAGTTTCTCTTTTTGACTTATTAATTTTTGAAAAGTATCTTGGGTTTAGTAAATAAAACAGCTTTCATAATGTCGTTGAGCTAATTCAAGATCTAGAGAATGCCAAGCACTCTTAACTGTATCTACTATCTCTTCCGTTTTTGATTCACAGAATTAGATTAGTATCTGATACATTAGTAAGTGCTCAATCAAGAAAGTTTTGTTTTGTTTTGGTGACAGAACTGGAATTAGAATCCGGCTGTCTTCCCATGAAGTTACCTCTTCCCATTACACCACACATGCTTTCCATTGTGTCCAAAGCTTATTTTTGTAAAACATTTGTAAACAGTTCATAGATGTGGGGATCAGTGTTCTTTATGTCCTTTTTCTATCCTATTTTTTGGAAGCATACAGGAATTCACAAGTTTAAATTTGTTATTGTGTGAATGCTGGCTAAGGAGAAGAAAGAAAAGTAAAATACCTTTCAGTGTTTTTTGTCTAATGATAGATATAAATGCCCCATATTTCACAGTTAAAGAATTTATGTAAAGTAGATCATAAATTCATATGCAGCATTTTTAGCTTGAATACTGAGGTACTTAAATAGGTCTAGTCAAAATGTTAAGCATGAATTAGTGATTTTAAGATATAAAATGATTTATGCTTTAAGGAGCTCAATTTGGAGGAGAAGGATGGTAAAAGAAAGGATGAACGCCCATAGATTTTCTTGGTGCTGTTCAAATTTGATTATGGTATAAATATAGGCAGTATTCAATTTTTAAATGTACAACTTGATGACTTTTACACATTGATCACCACACAGATCAGTATACCGAATATTTTAACACCCCAGAAGGTTCTTTAGTACCCTCTTTTTTTTTTTTTTTTTGGTAGTTACAACCCTCCAAGAGGTAATCATAATTTTGGCTTCTGTCACCATAGGTTAGTTTTGCCTTTTCTTGAAATATGTATATAAATGGAATCAAACAGTACTGTCTTGTATCTGGCTTCTTTTACTCAGAATTGTGTCTATAAGATTCATCCATATTGTGTATAGCAGTGGTGAATTTGCTTTGCTTTATATTATTACATTATATAAATAAAGCACAGTGTATTTATCCATTTACTGTTGGGTTTGTTTTTTTTTTTTACAATTTTTTGACAGTTTTTTACTATTGTGATTAAAGCTGCTAAGAACAGAACATTCTGTGCTTATCTTTTCGTCAATATATGCATTCATTTTTCTTGGGCCTTAAGGTTTTATAGTGTTATAAAAGTTTAGAACTTTTTTTGTTAAAATAGAATGCCAAGCCTGCCTCACAAGAAAATTTCAAGTCTGCCTAAATGGATATATACCTTTTTGATTTTATAATAGAAACTGGGGAAAAATAACATTGAATTCATAGCCAATTTTGAGTGGTATCATGTGCCTGTTCTGTAATGCAAGGCTTATGGATATTATACATTCATTCCTTCAGTGAACAGCAGGGAACCATGCTATGTGTTAGAGATACAGCTATGAAAGACACGGTCATAGTTTACTTTCCCCAACCAATATGTTCAGGTCATTTGAACATAATGTATAGAGCACAGAGATAAAGAAATGAGAATTATTAGGGGAGTACTTAGGGTGAAGCATCTCACCTAAACCTGGGTAGTCAGTGGAAGCATCTCAGAGAAAATGACGTCTGAACTGGGTCCTATAGAATGAACTGGACTTAGCCAGGTGTAGGGGCGGGAGTTGGCGTTGAGAACAGCAGTGCAATGAGAGCTTTTAAGGCAATGTTTAAAGCTTAGAGACACAAGAAATTGAAAGTAGTTGGGTAAGCAGGGACTCAATTATAAAGGGGTTTTTGGCAATATCAGGTTTTGACATCATTCTTAGGTCAGAAGGGATAGTAAAACGAATCCTACACATCCCACAATTTGAGCAATTACCAAGTCATGACGAATCTTGTTGATACCACTTTTCCCCTCCCCCAGTGAATAGTTCTGAAGCACATTTGAGACATCATATCATCATTGAAGATTTCGAGCAGGATAGTACATGGTCAGTTTTGCATTTTAGAAATCACATATCCCTAGTAACTTTAAAGTATATTTACAATGCGTACACCATAGTTAGTTGCTTCTCATTTGCTTCCATTATGCAGACATTTGTCTTTCTGCACCACCATGTACTATTTATAGCAGTTTGCATTTTTTCAAACTGTATGGAAGCATGATTAAATGCTAAACTTATTTTTTTAAGTTAATTGAGAGAGAAAGAGAGAGCTTGCACATACTCATGGAGAAGGGGCAGAGAAAGAGGGAGAGAGGGAATTCCAAGCAGGCTCCACTCTTGTCAACAAGGAGTCAGACATGGGGCTCAGTCCCATGAACCATGAGATCACAACCTGAGCCGAAATCAAGAGTCAAGACACTCAACTGACTGAGTCACCCAGGCACCCCTAAACTTATTTTATATATTTATCTTCTTGTGAGGATCATTGTTTAATTTGCCTTTAAAGATACTGAATATTTTTGGCTTGTATAACTATAAAAATGTCATAAACAATATAAAAGTTTGTTTTAGTTCAGTTTCCATGATAGCAAAGATACTGGTATTTGGAAAGTAGAATTCAATTTATGGTTTTGCTACAAATATTTTTTTACAGATTCAGATTTAATTTATGATTCTTCTGTGGCTCAGGTTTTGCTATTTATCTACCTATTGAAATCTGTTTCTTATTGAAGTTTACTTTGATGGTGAAAATTAATATAGATTGCTTTCATTTTAAAACTATTTATAGTTGTTTACACACCACTAAGTTAAAAATTCCTTCCTGTAGTAAGAATGTTTACTTCCGAAAGTATTTTAGTTTAACCTTTGGTTTAGTAGATGGTAACTACCAGCACCGCATTCATGCATTTATTCATTCATTTGGTGAAAGTCAGTGATCTTAATTCAAATCACAGGTTGGCAAATATTTGTTGCTGAAACTGGTTCTTAGATTTTTGGAAGGTTGTTCCAAAAGAAAGGGAGAATTCACAACAGAAACCATATGTGGCCTGCAGGCCTTACAGAAAAAATTTGCCACCCATGGTCTAAATGAATATAACTCAAATTACTGGATGTGCTTATTTTTCTTTTGGAAGTGTTGAAGATTCATTTTCAAATTGACATTTAAAAATAAAAATTTAATTGTCTTCTACAGAGAAGATGGTGAATTAGAAGATGGTGAAATAGATGATGCAGGATTTGAAGAAACACAAGAACAGGAAGCAAAAGAGGATGAGAAGCAGAAAAATGAGAAAGCCTATAGAAAATCAAGGAAAAAACACAAGAAAGAAAGAGAGAAGAAAAAATCCAAAAGGAGAAAACGTGAAAAACATAAGGTTAGTTGAAATCTACTTTTAATTCTTTTAGTAAGTTTTTATGAAATATAAAATACTGAAAATTAGAAAGTATAAATCATTGCTTATTTTTTTATTAAAAAAACTTTTTTTGATGTTTATTTTTGAGAGAGAGCATGAGTGGGAGAGGGGCAGAGAGAGAGGGAGACACAGAATTTGAAGCAGGCTCCAGGCTCTGAGCTGTCAGCACAGAGCCTGACGTGGGGCTTGAACCCACCAACCATGAGATCATGACCTGAGCCAAAGTCGGATGCTTAACCGACTGAGCCACCCAGGTGCCCCAATCATTGCTTATTTTATTATAAAACTTATTGATTAGATACTTTTATTTATGTGAGTAATACATTTTCTAAACACAAAGATTATATGAATTATCTCAAAGATTTAAAAATTAACCAAGGTAACTTTTAATGCAAGTTAAAATAAATCTTTTTAATTGATGATAAAAGGTTAAGAAAGTTTTATTCTCTACAGATCTAAATTAGCAGCATTGGCATTGCCATCCATTTATTTATTTATTCATTCATATGTATTATTGTGTGCTTGCTATGGAAATCTCTGTGCTCTGTGTTAGAGTTACAGTAATGAGTGAAACAGTCTCTAACAGATTACATTAAAAGTGGAAGGAGAAGGCAATAAACAAATGAAAATATGATCAAGAAAAAAGAGTAGGGTGCTGGATAGAAAATAAGGTAGTTTGGGACAGGAAGGAAAGGATATCTATGCTGATGAGAACTCAGGGAAAAGTTGGCAGCTGTAGTGGGGTAGCTTTTGAAATTCCCCCCATAAAACAGAGCAATAACGATAGCAAAATCTGGGGCACCTGGGTGGCTCAGTCGGTTAAACATCCAACTCTTGATTTTGGCTCAGGTCATTATCATGGCTTGTGAGATCAAGCCCTGCACTGGGCTCTGTGCTGGTAGTGTGGAGCCTGATTGGGATTCTCTCTGTCTCTCTCTCTGTCTCTGTCTCTGTCTCTCTCTCTGCCCCTCCCCTGCTCGCAAGTGCGATCTTGCTCTCTCTCTTTCTCTCTCAAAATAAATAAATAAACATTTAAAAAAATGAAAGAAACAAGTTACCCTACAAACCTTAAAAATACAAATGGTTAAGGCCAAACTACAGACAGCAACAAGACCAGTATATTAAATCAGCAACTCTGCATACTGAAGCAGAGGGAAGGTAATGCGACCTCTAGGAAACTAATTGCCATCTTATCTCAAATGGAGGGATCCCCTTGCCACTCAACATGAAAAGTCCATAGGCCAAACTGAGAACAGCAGCAGAAAGTGAGAGGGGGCTTTACTAGTTCCAATTCACATGTGAGTGTAAGGTGATCACATGAATTTCAGTGATGCTTGAATGGTCTGGGCCTGATGAACTCCTATTACTGATCAACCAAATCCCTCTCTCGGACAGAATCCTATACTGAGAACATAACTGCTAGCAGTAGAATCTAAATTAAGAGGACAAGTATATTAGGACCAGGCAAGGAAAGAAATAGATTTTAAAAAATGAGGGAAAGAAGCAGGGGAGGCATATCTCAGGGGATACATAGCCCTATTTATTAATACTTCATGCAAACAACAGAACAAATAACCCTAGAGAACAAGATAAAGCCATGATCACATTCCATATAAGTTACTATTTAAAAAAAAGGGTGAATAATGGACAGAATATTCTTCCAAAAGAGAAAGAATTCCCACAAAACATATAAAATATTTAACCTAATTTACAAAATGATAAAAAAATTAAGAAAGCAATATAAAGCTATGATCAAACAGCATAAATACAATTTGGAGGACACATCCTTTGGTCATCTAGGCAAAAAAGACCAAGTCCCTTATTAGGAAAAGAAAATCAGATTAAAAAAAATTACTTATTTTAGAGAGAGAAAGCTCAAAGTGTTGAGGGGAGAGAGAGAGAGAGAGAGAGAGAGAGAGAGAGAGAGAGAATGAATCTTAAGCAGGCTCCATGCTCAGCGAGGAGCCCAACGTGGGACTTGATACCACGACCCTGGGATCATGACCTGAGCTGAAATCAAGAGTCAGATGCTCAACTGACTGAGCCACCCAGGTGCCCCTAAGAAAATCAGATTTATATAGAAATTTTTGATATCAGTATTTTATGCCAAAAGATGATGGAATGCCATATTTAAATAAGAATTGGTTTCAAGAATTTTATATCCAGCTAAATACTGACCTTTGGATATATAGTCCTCAGAAAAACTATATATGGTAGAACTTAGGAAGTATTGTTATCATGAGCCTTCCTACAGACTCTACTAGAGAGCAAGTTTAGATGACTAGTTGAAAGAGAGGGATCTATATACATGCATATATCTCCTTATAAAATTAAGACTAAATGATGGACATAAGAGCAGTATATTATGTATCTGTACATTACAACTATAAAAAAATACCAGGAAAAGCAGAAGAGTATATGGCAAGAAGAATAAGGTTACTGATTGACTTATAGTTATTAACGGAGAGTAAAAGGATGTTGCTTCAAATTATTATCCTGGGAATAAAAGAAAGGAGAAGAGGTTACTGCCAAACTTCAGTATTGGTCCTGTTGGTAAAGAAACAGTATGTGCACCTGGGTGGCACAGTTGGTTAAGCATCCAGCTCTTGATCTCGGCTTAGGTCATGATCTCACAGTTCCTGAGTTCTGGTCTGATGGCACAGAGTCTGCTTGGGATTCTGTCTGTCCTTCTCTCTGCCCCTCCCCTGCATGTGTGCTCGCTCTCTCTCAATAAATAAATAAACTTAAAAAAAAAAAAAAAGAAACAGTATGCAAAGAAGGGACAGGAAGTAAGGTTATTGGAAAAAGGCTGTATGAAAAAAATAATTGAGACAAAAATATAAACTTTTCTAAATACCCCAACAATGCAAAATCCAACTCTGTGTACAAGAAAAAGATTTTAAAAATGGGTAAAGACATGCGAGGCAAATGCAAAGAAAGAGAAGGCAGAAGTCATAATGTTGATATCTGAGATAGTCACATTTAGGTCAAAAAGAATTGAAAGAAACAAAGAAGAACATTTTATGATGTTAAAGTTTACAACTCATAATGAAATATAAGTTATTAATATTTATATCCCCCCAAAAAGCAACTTCTGAAAAGCAGGAACTATGGGAGCTACAAGAAGAAATAGGAATATAGTAATAACAGGAGATACACCAATATGCCTTTCTTAGATCAATCAAGTGGATGAAAAGGTGGTAAGGATGTTAAAGAGAGATTATAAGTAAGTTTTAAGCTCTGAATCCTGAGAACACATCATCCTCTCATTATATGGCCACATAGTATGCCTTATAAGCTCCAATTACTTTGATAGAGTGGAAATGTTACAAAGAGCAACATCAAACCACAATACAATAAAACTAGACATTACTAATAAAGTCAAAACAAATGCCTTTTTACTTTATAATTCAAATACCTACTATAAATAGCTTGTGGAATAGAGGGAAAACAGATTAAAACTGCAGAATTTCATGAAAATAATGAGAACTCTTGATATGTAAGTACTAGTGGAATATGTCTAAAGCAGTTATCAGGAGAAAATTATAGTATTACAGTATTAAAGGCTAGAAAAGTGGCAAGTCAAAACAAAAGAAACAAAAAGAAGGACTTTTGATAAAGTTACAAGCAGAACTTAATGAATTAGAATGAAAAGTCAGTAGTTACGAAAAAAAAGATCAACAAAATCTTCAGCCAGACTAATCTAGAAAAAAGGGGGGAGGGGCGCCTGGGTGGCGCAGTCTGTTAAGCGTCCGACTTCAGCCAGGTCACGATCTCGCGGTCCGTGAGTTCGAGCCCCGCATCGGGCTCTGGGCTGATGGCTCAGAGCCTGGAGCCTGTTTCCGATTCTGTGTCTCCCTCTCTCTCTGCCCCTCCCCGTTCATGCTCTGTCTCTCTCTGTCCCAAAAATAAATAAACGTTGAAAAAAAAATTTTTTTTAAAAAAAAGAAAAAAGGGGGGATTGCCTGGCTGGCTCAGTCGGTGGAGCATGCAACTCTTGATCTCAGAATCTGAGTTCAAGCCTCACATTGTGCATAGAGCCTTCCTAAGAAAAAAGAAAAGAAGGGAAAAGCAAAACTAAAACTCACTCTGTTGAAGCTAAGAACTTTCAAAACTAACAAGTTTCATCTCCTTTTTAACAGCCTTTCATTTATCTATTTTCTTTGACAGATAGTTACTTTCAATATTTTGCTTTAAAATCGTTTTATTTCAAAAAATAAACTTTTTAAAAAAAGTTTATTTTGTGAGAAAAAGCAAGGACGAGTTAGGGGGCAGAGAGAGGGAGAGAAAGAAGGGACAGAATCCCAAGCAGGCTCTGCACTGCCAGCGCAGAGCTCCATCTCACAAGCTGTGAGATCATGACCTGACCCAAAAAGAGTTGGACTCTTACCCAACTGAACTACCCAGGAACCCCTCAACATTGTGCTCAAAAATCATAACTAGATCACTTAGTTCATTAGATAACATTTTCTACTTTGCATGTTATTGAATGCAGCTGTGTTGTTCAACTTTCTGCCACTGTATAACAAGAATGTCCCTTTTTCCAGTTTTAATAAGCTATCTCTCACTTTCCTTTAAGTTACCTCAAAGTCCAAAATTTTGCTAACAATCATTCAAGGCAGTTTATGTATTGTTATTATTATCATTATTATTATTTTGTAATCTCTATCCCCTACGTGGGGCTCAAACTCATGACACAGAGGTCAAGAGTTGCCTACTCCAACTGAGCCAGCCAGGCACCACTCATTCAAGGCAATTTAGACTTTCACTAAGGCTCTCCTTAAAGTCGTTCCAATATCCATCCACTGTCTGGTTGCAAAATCCCTCCTGCCTTTTAGATACTTGTTATGGAAGCACAGCATTTCCAGACACCAGTATCTTATTAGTTAACTATTGCTGAACAGCATATTACCCCAAACTTAGAAGTTTAAAAGAACAGAGATTTATCTCCCAGTTTTTGTCAGTCAGGAAACTGGATGCAGTTAAACCAGGTGATTCTGGCTCACCTTTTCTCATGAGGTTTCAGTCATCTCATGGCTGGCTCGACAGAGGTAGGATCCTGTTCCGTGGTCACTCACTTGGCTCTTGGCGGGCCTCATCAGTTCCTCACCATGTGGACTTCTCTACAGGCTGCCTCAGTGTCCTCATTGATGTCAGCTGGCTTCCCCCAAGGCAGGTGACCCAAGAGTGAGAGAGAACAAGAGAAAGCATCCAAGATGAAAATTGTAGTCTTTTTTATGACATAATCTCAGAAGTGATACACCATCTTTTCTGATATATTCTACTTACTACCTATTTTTAATGTAGTCAAGTTGTTAATTTCAGGTAATAATTACTTATTACTATATATGAGCCACATGTATATATTTTTTGATAATAGTCTTCTTAAAGTCAATATGTTTTTTAGCCTCACTTTTTTGGAGTAGCCTGAAGAAACTTCTCCCTTAAGCAGAACCTTCTTTTCCCTGGTGGTTTTTCCTGAAGCACTGTCTTCGTCTGAGCTGTTTCTGTTTTTGTTTTTTTTTTTAAGATTTTATTTTTAAGTATTTTCTATATTCAACGTGGAGCTTGAACTCACAACCCTGAGATTGAGAGTCACATGCTCTACCAACTGAGCCAGCCAGGTGCCCCTGAGTTTCTTCTTAATCAAGTTTTATCCCTTCTGTGATCTTCAACTGAAAGGTTTTCCTTGGAACTGGAGCTGACTTCTGCTAGTGACTTAGCAAACTTGGCTTTTAAATGGACAATAATTGGGGCACCTGGGTGGCTCAGTCGGTTAAGCGTCCAACTTCGGCTCAGGTCATGATCTCATGGTTTGTGAGTTCAAGCCCCGCGTCGGGCTCTGTGCTGACAGCTCGGAGCTTGGAGCCTGCTTCCCATTCTGTGTCTCCCTCTCTCTCTGCCCCTTCCCTGCTCATGTTCTGTCTCAAAAATAAATAAACATTAAAAAAAATTTTAAATGGGCAATAATTATTTCAAGCCCTAATTAACAAATAGTAGATAGTTAAGTTTGAAGGATTTCATAGCATAATCATGAAAAGATTGCTTCGTATCACCTATCAAATCAGCAAAAACAGAAATAGCACTACCACAAAACAAAACCTGAAAACATTTAAGAACAAAGTGGAGGAAAAGTTTGTCTTTCTTAAAAGAACCTTTAAGAATTAAAGGGTAAAGGAGGGCACCTGGGTGGCTCAGTTGGTCTAATGTCCGACTTTGGCTCAGGTCATGATCTCATGGCTTGTGAGTTCAAGCCCTGCATGGGGTTCTGTGCTGACAGCTGAGAGCCTGGAGCCTGCTTCGGATTATGTGTCTTGGTCTCTTTCTGCTCCTCCCCTGCTCGTGCTCTGTCTCGATCTCTCAAAAACAAACATTAAAAAAAAAAAAATGGCGTAGAGGAAAACAGATCCTTCTATTGTTTTTTTTAAAAAAAATTTTTTTTCAACGTTTTTTATTTATTTTTGGGACAGAGAGAGACAGAGCATGAACGGGGGAGGGGCAGAGAGAGAGGGAGACACAGAATTGGAAACAGGCTCCAGGCTCCGAGCCATCAGCCCAGGGCCTGACGCGGGGCTCGAACTCACGGACCGCGAGATCGTGACCTGGCTGAAGTCGGACGCTTAACCGACTGCGCCACCCAGGCGCCCCCAGATCCTTCTATTGTAAAAGCATCCGAGTTCAATTTAGTTCACCCAATTTTTACTGAGTATCTTCACTGATAAGAACTTTTAAGAATTCTTTGAAAAGAATGCTTAACCTGAGAAGATAATTACTTTGACTACATCGAGATTTGGTGACTTTTTTTTAAAGAAATGCACACATATTTTAAAAAGCTGACTCTTGATATCTGCTCATCATTATCAGTTCCTTCTGGTTTCCATTTCACTTTTGTTCAATTTTTGGGGTTGGATTTATTTCATATTTATAGTTTGGAATGTTTTGGTATCTTTTAGTTTTAGGGTACTTACACAAAAGAGTAAGAATTCTAAAGCCATTTTAGGTAAAAATAAATCAATTCATACTCTACTCATGTTCTGTGTTCCTCTTTGAGGATCTAGTTTTATTCTTTAGAGATTAAGATCACTTTAAGCATAGTGGAGCACAGGTCCTTGGATCACAGGGATGATGATGATAATGTTGCTCTTAAGTCCCTAAGAAGAGGGGAAGATATACTTTTCCTCAGAAAATTTTAGAGAAGTTGGGGTGGTGGTGGCCTGTAGTAGAGCAAGGATTTTTCAGTGAATACTTCAGAACCTACTAGGCTAATACTGTCTATTGGTTGGCACTTCTGGCTGAAACAAGTCTATCTAGTTACTAGTTAAATGTTCTTCCTTTTGCAAATGTAACATAATTGTGTTTTCCCTTTTAGCATAATTCTCCGTCTAGTGATGATAGTTCAGACTACAGCCTCGATTCAGATGTTGAACATACAGAAAGTTCCCACAAAAAAAGAGCTGGTTTCTACAGGGATTATGACATTCCATTTTCTCAGGTATTGCCTTTTTAAAAATGTGGTTAAATATACATAACATAAAATTTACCATTTTAACCATTTTTCAGTATACAATCAGTAGCATTAAGTATATTCACAATGTTGTACAACCATCTCCACTATCCATTTCCAGAACTTTTTCATCATCCCAAACAGAAGCTGTGTACCCATTAAATGAGAACATCTCACTTCCCCCTTTCCTCTACTTTCTGTCTTTATGAATTTGCCTACTCTGTAGGCATATAGGTGCAGTCATACTGTATATGTCTTTTTGTGTCCAACTTACTTCATTTATCATAATTAAAAAAATTTTTTTTTAATGTTTCTTTATTTTTGAGAGAGTGAGACAGAGCAGGAGTGGGGGAGGGCCAGAGAGAGGGAGACACAGAATCAGAAGCAAGCTCCAGGCTCTGAGCTGTCAGTACAGAGCCCGATGTGGGGTTCAAACCTCGAATTGTGAGAACATGGCCTAAGCCAAAGTCAGACGCCCAACCGACTGAGCCACCCAGGCACCCCATCATAATTTTTTAAAAGTTCATCTAGCATGTATCAGAATTTCATTTTTTAAGGCTGGATAATATACGATTGTATGGATATACCATATCTTGTTTGTTCCTCTGTTGATGGACACATGAATTTCTCCCACCTTTTGACTGTTGACTGTTGGACTGTATACCTAAGAGTGGGATTACTAGATCATATAGTAATTCTATGTTTAATTTGCTGAGGAACCACCAAACTGTTTCCCAGAATGGCTGCACTGTTTAGCATTTCCACCACAATGCGTGGGATTTTCCAGTTTCTCCACATCCTTGCCAAACTCATTATTTTCTGGGTTTTCTGTTTTATTTTGTTTTGCTTTAGGTTTTCTTCTCCTCTTCTTTTTTTTTTTTTTT